CCAGTATTGCATCCACCGAAGACCAACAAGGCCCAAGCAGCTAATGTAAGCCACACGGCGTTCCCAACGCTCATATTTCCGACAGAGGAGAATCGGGCTTTTGCGATGAAGAGGTTGAAAAGGTCAAAGAAAAAGGCCTGAAGAGAAATGGTGGTTGCAAACACTGAGACAAAGGTGCTACAGCAATTCTTAGATCTCTCGCAGGAATTGGGCAGTAATTTGAATACAGTCGAGGTGCCCGCAAGACCTAGAGCGACGAGGTGCTGGGCAGCTCCAAAAGTTGTTGACAGTGTCGTCCCTTTAACAGCAACCCGAGAGATACTGTTCAGGGATGTGTTTTGGCCTATTAAGCTGTTGGTGTCTGCCCATCACAGTTAGAAAACACATCTCCGAAGTCCGTAGGTGTGAGCATAACACACCGGGTTCGTATCCTATAGAAGGACGAGAACAGAAGGTGCCATTCGACAGCTCAAGACAATATCCTAAAGCTCCGAAGGTGAATGTGCCGTTGTATCGATCCTCGGTAATATGAGCTTTGAGAAAGTAGATTGATTCAAAATGAATAACAGAGAAGGAAACCAGAGCAAGTAGCACTGTTGCTACCAAGGTGCAGATGAATCCTGGGGTGTTTGGTCGAAGGCAACCCATGAATGTTAGGGACAGAAGATGAGTTTAGAATCTAGAATTCAGACTTCCCGTGAAGGCGGGATTTGGATATCGCCGGCCTGGTGGTATAGAATGAATTCAAGACGATTGTCCTGCCTTTCCTCTCCAGAGCCCAGATGGTGAGGTCCAAACGTCACCAACTTTGTTCAGTATGTATGTGCTCCGAGTGTCATTGTCGGAATGAGAATCGTGGGTTGTGTTGTGATCAAAGGCCCGTTGGGGTTCGCGTTTTCGGCATGGGTGAGTGGCAGACATTGAATCCTGATCTTGTGATTTGAAGTAGTCGTTGTAGGAAGACGAGACCACCAAGGGAGGTTCGAGATGTACATCCTTACTTAGATGTTGGTTGAGGTTGACGAAGAAATGAAGTTGATTCGAATTTTTGTCAAATCATCTTATGAGTCATATTGCTTACCCCTAAACGTTACATAAACCCTTCTAACTTGAAACCACCACCACCAACTGCTCAGTAACAACTGCTAACGCGCCAATGTCCTTTTTCACTGTAACATGTTTCTCAATTTTGAGGAGAGCCAACAACAAGACCTTTTGATGCATTGTGGAACGGCGTCTGGATAACTGCTGTCTCATAGACTCTAGAACAAGATTTGTCGCTCTTCATGTCGACTGGCTCGGTATGCCTATTACCTCCTACTGCCAACTGGAAGGACAAAATAGCCAAGTGATGACTTTCCCCAAGCTTCAAGTTATACGAGAATAAGGACTGCACCGGATGACGGCGACGCTAACGTTAACCCGTTCTGAATCTTTACTCGTCTGTATGCCCTCTAGGCTCCGAGTCATTCCTCTTTCTATAATGCTGAGAGGCTTTTCGTAAGCCTTCATGTGGATAGATTGGCACCTATTGGCGCTCTGCGAACAAGACTATGATGACTTCCGAGTGCGAGGCGCGCCATATCGTTCTTGGATTTGACGAATTCCACTAATGTCGATCACACTCAATTCACTCTGCCCCTTCCAATAGTACGAGCCCCGCCCCGAACCTTCTATGCCAACCTGTATTGTAAATTGACATTCATGCTGTATAGGTCAGGACAGGACAAATCTTCGTAGCTTTCAAGTTCCAACTTCACCCTACTTTACCTGACAAAATTCCGTGAAACGATGGCGTTGAACGACTTCTTACTCAAAGTTCCACTCCCATGACTCCCTGGAAGTTCTGTGCGCATAAACTTTCACAAGAGTGAGTACATGGGCCACCCAATGTCGTCGATAATCACAGATCGAATATTCGAAGATTACGAAAACATGCCAATCTCTCTCTTTCTTCTAGGCTTCCTGGCACAGTAGTCTCTTCACCGTCCCTCACCTCTGTTCAACTCAAACATTCAGAAAGATGCTTCGAACAAATGGTGGATGCCGCGATCAAGGGCTGGCAAGAAACGAATCACAACCTTCTTGATAGCATTTATTGCTTGAGTTTCCAGCGAATAGAAACGTCAACACAAATCATGGTTATAGTGGAAAAACCACTCACAGAAGGATATGACGGAACACATTTGAGCTGGTATCCTAAAAGCAAGCTTCCGATATGTTCTTTTTCACCAATCTCGCATACTAGACAACCCATGGTATGAGTCTCTTGCTTGTAATCAAGTCCGGATTATAGCTGATAACTTGAACCACGCACCGCCGTCAACTACATATTTCGTGCCGTTTTTCTTGGCTCTGTACTTGCATCCACTCCCCACCGTGTGAGTAAGCGAGTTCCAAAAGTCAGAGCAAGCAGAGACTGAATCCTTTGCTATAGCATTGGCGAAAGGGATAGATTGAAAGGCAGAGATGATCAGGAGGAGGTAAAAACTGGCAAAGAGTTTCATGGGCTGTGCAAGGGAAAGCTTATGAGATTCGGTACTGAGCGGAGAGATTTTCTAAAGGGTATGTGTGTCGGAGTCGTAGTAGAGGACCAGCCTGGCGAAAACATGCTGTCCACGTACGTTTCTCTCTTATCTTCTTAGAGTGATTTGATATAGATCATTTGGTCTAGGGAGTTTTCGCGTTTAGCCAAACGCTACATATCAGCCCAAATCAAGATCATCAAGGCCACTGAATTTCCTGGAGTCCGAATCAGAAATTCCAGAATTGAGAAATCCAACCGAGTTTCTCCTCCATGGATCTGACTAGCTTTGCCAGATGAAAACGCTTAAAATTAACAGTGTCGAAATGGAACGTTCAACGGAAGGTGTTCCATAACAGAGTCAGGCTGAGGCGAGTCTACCTGGGCTGCTTTTGTTCCTGGATCTGACCCCTGCAGACGGGAAGATGTGTTATTCCTGTGTATGCCGCCGGGGGATGGGTTCCGCTTGTCCTAGCTGCTCTCATCCTAGTTCCATCGGTGTCACAGACAGTAGCATTTACGCTAATTTCTGAATAAAGGATGCTCCATCCTGGCCCCTGGGGTCCCTTTGAGCATATGTGTGCTATAGATCACAGGCTAAGGTCTTGAAGCGGGTCTGGGGGTTCAGCAAACAGAAACTCTGTGCCATCGAAGGTGATTTTGCTTCGAGTTCATGTAATTATTGTTCCGGCAACAAGTTTTGCTCACTGAACGTAACTTGAAGGTTGGAAGCAATCTTGATTCCTGATCTACTTTCACGGGGAGTCGGGGACTCGCTATGTAGTCACCTGTAGTCACATCATGGTCTAACAAATCGCCGCTGTGGATACTCAGCTTATCCTCCTACAACGTTCAACACAGCTTGATGTGTTTCAGTGGTAGACCAGTATCACGAATGACTGGAGAGGTCGTGACGTCTAGGCGAAGATATTAATCACGGATCAAATACTACATACTATGATACACATCCTTGCTCTCTTCATTCCAGCGTCAGGGCGTTCCATGATAATCATTTCCTCAGACCTTCCCTCGGAAATTCTCAAGCAAATAGTGCCGACGAGTGACCACCATCATCGAGGCTGTCGAAAAACCGGACCACAGCCTTCTTGATTGATGCTGTTCACGATTAGCTCGGTCACCTCGGATCCTCAGTAATGCTATGGGAGTAGAGATGGTCAGTGAATGACTTCCAGGGCGCAACTGAAGAACACTCACGTTTGACACACTGGATTATTGGCTGGCCCAACACAACGGTGGGCAGTTATGAAAGGCTTGCACACGAGTTTCGTCCACGAGATGGCTCCGATATGATGCTTTCCGCCATCCTCGCATTCTAGACGAACAGCCCCTTTTAGGAAGATAGACAACAGTGATAAGAAATCGAACGTACTACCGTCAACGACGTGTTCTTTACCGCTGTCCTTGGATCTGTATTTGCAATTACTGTCATAATGATGAGTGAACCAATTCCAGAAGCCCCCGCAAGCACTGGTGGGATCGGGGGCTATGGCGTTGACGGCGGGGATTTGGGTGTGGAAGAAAGAGACGAAGAGGAGGAAATAGAAAGTGATTGAGAAGAGCTTCATGGAAGGCTTATGAAGGTGCTACTTGGCGGAGAGACTCTCTGAGAGGTATGTGTGTCGTAGTTGTGGAGGACCAGCCTGGGGGAAAACGTACTCCTCCAAAAAGGTCCCTTTATATCTTCTAGTGGTCTGATATGAATCGTTTGATGAGCGTCTAGGGGTGCTTTAAGTTCGTCCTGGCACTAGGACGAATCGGGATGACAAAACGCTGGATGCGGCGTATCATATTTGTACGCCGCCGGGAGATGTCATTAGTCCTGCGCCTTCCTGGGCCTGATAAACTCCAGTGGTTCTCAAATTTCTAGTTGCCTTATTCTCGTCTCATTGGGGGTCAACATTTCACGCTGGACTTGGATAAGAGTTATTCCGTCCCAAGCAGGGGAAGACTTGGAAGGAAGCAATGAGCGTTGGTGAAGGCCCAAGGGAAAAATAGTCAGCGGAGAAACGTACTGTTGTCCGGCTGTTGTCTCCTGCTGTGCACATCTGGTATTTAAACGGAAACCCGCGGCATCGAGATCAACAATGTCGGGGACGCATGTAGTATAGCCTTATGGTTCCCCCCTCCCCTCGATACACGACGCGGAAATCGTAGTTCGAGATTGTCAATGAGGATGTCCGGTTTTGCAATATGGTTATGGTTGGAGAACAAGAACAACTCGGAAGTGAGAACGAACTCGAAACAATCCGGAGTCATGCCAATTCCGATGGTCTTGAACGTTCAATGAACATCCACAGGCTTTCGACACAAGTTACAACCCTTCGTCGATTCCTTCGTCTGTGCACAATTGACTACGAATATTTCGAGTGCCGTCATGTAGAACAAGCCTGTACAAGCTTGGTACAAGCGTCCCTTGCGCACTAAAATTTAAAAAATCTGTTGACAGTGAACAGCATGCATTAAGGGGGAATCGAACCCCCGGCGGGTCGAAACTAGATTCCTGATGACAGTCCATGGCAACGACCCAGGTTACCACTACCCCATTAATGCTATACAGAGAACGGGTTGCAGACAATCCGACACAAACTTGCGCATCGAATCCCGCTCCATCTCACCGGCGTACCCATTTATAACTCTGAGGAAGGACATGTATAGATGTTTGAAGTACAATGGTGGAATACGGATGGATAGATACACTAGGGGCGGAGCTTAATTTTACGAGTCGGGAAATTTTGAATAAAAAATATTATATAACGCCGGGAAATTATTCCCAATGACCTTCCCAAAATAGTACACATTACCTGCAAGAAATAGATTCTTTCCCTTCAATGAAAAGTGCTGTTTTACGGCTTGAATATTATCTGATTTCTCATCCATTTTTGGTGATCTTTCACATTATACAAAGCCATTCTTTCCCATTATACAAAAATGACCTTTTTCATTATACATGAATGGTCTTTCACTGTAGATAATGATAATCTTTTGCCCAGAAAGTTTCCTATCTATCCCGCCCGTAATTCATCTGATTTTACGAGGAGAAAGTAAATGCCCGCTTTTTAGGCGCTGGTATATGTAAGCAGCTCCAGCGCCTAATTGAGCACAACATACTGTCAGCTTAACCCGTCAATTACTTCACCTGGATCATCATACATCTATGATCTTGCTCAGTTGCTGCTCTTTGACACTTGAGACTTGCCCTTGTTCTTCTTTACCCTTCACTTGTGGGAGATAATGACCCAACTGATTATGACCAGTCAAGCGCTAGAGCTGCTTACATATACCAGCGCCTAAAAAAAGCGGGCATTTACTTTCTCCTCGTAAAATCAGATGAATTACGGGCGGGATAGATAGGAAACTTTTTGGGCAAAAGATTATCATTATCTACAGTGAAAGACCATTCATGTATAATGAAAAAGGTCATTTTTGTATAATGGGAAAGAATGGCTTTGTATAATGTGAAAGATCACCAAAAATGGATGAGAAATCAGATAATATTCAAGCCGTAAAACAGCACTTTTCATTGAAGGGAAAGAATCTATTTCTTGCAGGTAATGTGTACTATTTTGGGAAGGTCATTGGGAATAATTTCCCGGCGTTATATAATATTTTTTATTCAAAATTTCCCGACTCGTAAAATTAAGCTCCGCCCCTAGTGATAGATAGAAATACATACAATAAGCAGTGCTTGAACCAAGCTTGAATGACCCTACCCACACTGACCCTCCCTCGCCCCTCTTCATTCCTTCACTCCCTGTGCATTCACTAGCACCATTACTCGCTCACTGTCTCTATGTACCAGCCAACACATCAGTGTCAATTCTTCATCCGCCTATCCCCAACTCTCAAAGAAACAACCTCAAATGTCCTCCTCATCCTCGCTCCCTCAGTCATATTCCATCCCTGACCGTTCTTGTCTTCATTCGATACAGTCAACATCCTCACCTCCCTCTTCAACTCATCCGAATCATCGACTTCTGCTTCGTCCCCTTTGTCCTCTTCCAGCACTTCGTCGTCTGCGAGCTCGATCCCGATGTTTGTCATGTCTTCCGGGGTTGCGCGTACCGTTGGTGTAAGCGGTCTCGCAGTCGTCGCAGTCGCAGGCGCCTTCAAAGACGATCCGCGATCAGGACTAGAAGTCGGATGTGCGGTATTGGCAGAACCGGCGAAAAAGGAGGAAAAAGGAGAAGCGAGGCCGGATAGGCTGGAGGTGAGAAACTCGGAGGCATCGTTGATGAACGTTCGTGGCTTGCGAAGAGGGAGGGAGGTGAGCACGTAGGTGTTTCGTTTCCAGGAAGGGGAAGAGGAGAATAAGGGGTATGTAGGATCGGATTGGAATGTGATATGGATTTCTCCTGTGAGGGAGGGTGTTTGTCCTGGGGAGGGATGGGTAGGAGAAGGAATAAGGTGGAATGTGGGAAGGGGATGAGAGTAATGGTTTGGAAAGGGGAGAGAGATGGGTCGTCGGTGACGAAGGACGAGGCGGTTTTCTGTAAATGTGAATGTATACGTTCAATTCTGAGCATGTTGTAGATCGCGATGATTTACCCTCGATATCAATCGCATGTCCCGATTGCCTCGAACATAATGCACCTGACGTATCAATGAAGAAGACTTGGTTGTTTGCTTGCGGATCTCTTCGTGCTATTTGGTTGTTGGATGTCAACGACCTGAAGGGCAACGGCGGACGAAGACCGCACATTGCAGATAATCAAGAACACTCACATTCGACCAACGAGCTCTCCTTCTCAGGCCAGAGAATCACCTCCGTCCCATCTTCAGCGTAATCACCCGCGATGTCGAGCAGTCTCCCCGTGGATTTGGATCGGATGATGAAGTATCCTGGCGGAAAGCCGTTTGTGCTGGTAATCTTCGTCTGACTTTCCGTCGAGCTTGTCATCGTGTGTCGGTCGGGGTGAGTTGAGGAGGTAGAGATGTAGAAAGCTGTAGAATCATGATGAGGCAGGCGGCTGTGCGTTACATTTGCGGCTAAGTTGGTGCACAGCAAATTTGAAAAGAGGAGAACAAGAGGGTAAAGTTGTTCACATCCACGTATGCCTAGAAGAGATTCTATGTAGAGAGAAAGGGAGAAAGCAGGTTTGAAATTGTGTCCTTTGCGAGAACTTCAGCTTTTTCCATAAGTAAAACCCAAAAAAACCACCCACGGTTGCATTATGCATTAAGGGGGAATCGAACCCCCGGCGGGTCGAACAGAGCATTAGAGCCTAGTCAATTTCGATGGCAACGACCCAGGTTACCACTACCCCATTAATGCATTCATCAACGGAGCGAACCTTTGATCACTATCATCGTGAGCCTTTCTCTGTACTACATATTCTGAAATTGCTCCTTTGGTACTTACTTACTTTTAAGCGTCCCGTTCAAGCCCAGTCGTCGCTTAACGTTTAACGTTCAGCCCTCATCATATCTTCCATGTTTACCAGCTTAGAAGATTATGACTCTCAAACCGTCTCCATCTACCAAACCGAACTCCCAACCGAAGCCGTCAACGTTATCTTAAAGCCCAAGGACATCCAAGATGTCCGAGAACTCCTGCGCTGTCTTCTCCCTCTAGAACTCATTGAGAATATACTGGAGGAGGCGGAATATTGGCCTAGGATCCACGCAGAACGAACCCGGGATATCTTCGTCGACTCGAGACAAATTTATAACCATCAGCTTGGATATCAGTCAACTTGGTGTTATCTACTTTCACCACCTCTACCTCCTGTACGGAGTGACTCGGTGCGGCCCAAGGCGAGGAGGGTTGAGATTCAGATCAAAGCTTTTCATGAAGGCTGGCGTGAGCTTTAATATGTAATTTATATCCTTCGTTGCATCCGTCCTCACTTTCTGACTCTCCAGGTCCCCCGTCCTGTTTCGAAGCCATCATCGTCAAACCGCACCATAAACAAGACCTGACTTGGGTTTCTGAAGCGCTCAAAGAACCTGTCAATTTACTGCTACTCGATCATCCCTCATCACCGGGGCATTCCTTATTCTCCTTCACCCGTTGGCACATCGCTGCAAACGCTGTTGGTATTGACGCTCCACAATACCATTCAGTCGTGTGGACGAGGGAAGCAGAGGAATCCAACTGTACGAACGCCGATGATTGTCTCGTACGTGAGGGGCTTGGGCATGAACTGGTCAGGTTGTTAGAGCCGGGTGATAGGATTGCGATTTTGGTGTCGTCAGAGGTCAGCTTGTTTGGAGTTTCTTGTCTATCTTTTTTCTTTTTACATTCGCTGATGTCTGATCAGCAACGGGGTTGGGAGAAACGTGTGTATGGCGCCTCTATCAATATAGAGTACTCTGCATGTTGACGGAAAACTGGCATTTGCGATACTCATTGTATCGTAATTCTAAGTATACTCCCTATCAAATATCTGATATTCATTGGTGACCACATTTCTCTGTGGCTACTATTTCGAGGACCTGTCCAACTCAGGGACCATCATACTTGCAGCTGGTAATTTCACTGTAATGCTGACTTTGAGTACTGCTATCCACAGCTATCTACCCTGGACCCATGATCAAGTCTTGGTTTGGTCCTCGATGTATCTGCAATCTATCAGAAACATTTTCAATGTCAAACAATATCCAGAAGTTGGGTGTTCCTATGATGTGTATGGAGACTGAGCGTTAGAATTTTGGCATGGAACAGGATGCATGATGGACCGGCGTGGACACTGAAAACCCTTCTGAACATGAGGTTTGTCGCTCTCCATCTGCTATCGTCGCTCGGGCATTCAGCATCATTGCGATCCAGCACAATTGGAACAAGAAAGAAAGACAGAGGGCGAGCGTTGGACCAGAGCGGACAATCATCTGTGGGTCTATGATTCGGCATGCGATTATGCGGCTCATCACCTTCAAGTCCCTAGCGCTAGCGCTGAGCGCTGATCAACAGGCAACATACTGGGCTCCAGGACATGTCATTGTCCAGAGATGAAGCTGTAGATATGAATGACATCAGAGTCACAAGTCGATTCTTTGTACAGACATAGCCTCGGGACGGATATATCTACTAAAGGCCTTGATTGCAAGTACATAAAGCTTTCCTCAGTTCCTACTTTGACTGACTGAGCCCCCCAACTTCGCTGCTCATTTTATCGTATGTCTGCCAGTATAGAAGGTGACTTCTAAACCATCTTCCGAACCGAACACCCAATCAAACTCATGGATGATGGTCTCGCAGATGATCATGTCATAAAACCCGAGGATGTTCTAACCGTCGGGGAACTCTTACATCGGAAATCACTCCCTCCGGAACTCATCGAGCTAATCATTGAAGAGGCGGAATATTGGCCAAGGATTCATTCGGAAAGAACGAACGACATTGTTGTTAGAACGAGGGTTCTTGCGGAGGTTGGATATAAAGCCGCTTGGTGTTACCTACTTTCTCCTCCTCTACCGGCTCTCCTCGCTGAAAGAAATAAGATGCCGCAGAAAGCGAGAAGAGTTACGATCAAGATCCAAGCTCATGATCAAGGCTGGGGTGAGTCTTCATACTGCGAGTCGTACTCATACTTCTATCTCTCACTCTCATTTCTACCTAATCAGCTAGTGATCCTTCCGCAGGTGCCTGGTCCTGGTTCGAAGCCATTATCATTAAACCGCACGACACACAGAATCTCCCCTGGTTCTCTACAGCGCTCGAAGAAGCTACCGACATATTTGATCATGGCGATCCACCAGTCGATGGTACCCTCCGCACCTTCACCCGCTGGCACGTTGCTGAAAATGCAGTTGCCTACGAGCCCATACAAGTTCATTCAGTTGTGTGGACGAAGGAAGCCGAGGATTTCCAATCTTCGAACGCCGATAGTCCCAAGGGGCGTGGGGGGCTTGGGCATGAGCTCGTCAGTTCACTAGAGCCGGGTGATAGAATTGCGATATTGGCGTTGGCACAGGTAAATTTGCTTGTCGTAATTTCTGTTCTTTGTCTTTGCTAATCTTTGGTTTATTTGGCTAGTACCCGAGCTGGGAGAATCATGTGTGCAGTGTCTCTATCGATATCGAATACGCTGCGTGATGGCTGAAGCTGAAGGTTTGCACTTGTGGCTCTCAATTCTGATCGTAAGTGGGCATATTTTTCTGACTCGGAGTAGTACGCATCCCCTGATTGCTCCTCAGAATACATACTATGTACCATAAGTATTGCGTCTTATCATGGAGCAATGATTGTACAATATGTTACATCTTAACTCACAATGGCATCCGTCTTGTACTACCAGGCATGAAATGGTCGGAATGACAGGCGATCATATGGCAGAGGTGAGCGTTGGCAGAGGTGAGCGTTGGCAGAGGTGAGCGTTGGCAGGGGTGAGCGTTGGCAGGGGTGAGTGAGGATGGCAGAATCATGTCTATTGTGCCTCCATTGAAATAGAGTACTCTACGTGAGGATGACTGGATATTTGTACTTTCGTCAATCGGACGATTATAAGAAGTGCCAGTTCTAGTATCTTTACAAGTTGGACTACTCATCCTTGATCGCTAGGCTTTAGGCCAATACCATGAGCATTGCTCATTTAATTTGACAGTGTGATTTGCATGTCAAGCAACACCGGGAATGGAACAGATACTTGTGAGATTGACAGGAGCTGCATGAGCAGGCTGCAGTCGGTATCGATGTCCAGCTCAATGATCAAGGTCCGCGTTCGGGAGTTGAGAAGGAGATTGGTTGAAGAGGTTGATGTATTGGAATTTCTTTGGATCTGGATGATGGTTTTGATCGAGAAGTGTACTTTCACTATCAGATGAACTCAGAACCAGTAACTTGAGCCGCTCTATGTAAAGCGTTAGAAATGAGAAATAGATGATTCATACGACAAAAATATCAAAACCTCCAACATGTACAATGCATTAAGGGGGAATCGAACCCCCGGCGGGTCGAACAGAGTATCAGCCTCAAATCAATGGCAACGACCCAGGTTACCACTACCCCATTAATGCCTTGAAAAGCCTTACAGTACAAATTATATCACTTGTTGGGAGAACCATGATAATCCATGAAAATTTGTTCTCTTCTTCTCACTTTGGCCTCGTAAAACTCAAACATGAACGTGCTAAACAAAGACATGCAGGGCCGTTGGAAGAAGAGTTATCAGACTAGGCTCAATCTGAATTCAACGACGACTACAACAACAACAGAGACCCCAGCGAGTGTAGAGCCCTCGAAGATGGAAAACACAGAAAACGTACGGCCTGGAGCAGATGGAGATGGAGAGAGCTTGAGCGCGGTGAACGGCAAACGAAAAACAAAGAGTACAGGTAATACCACGAAAAGACAAAAAACGGCTACCAGCCCGCCTCCTTCTTCTCCTCCTCAACTTCGACTTGCCTCCCTTGTCCTATCACCTTCTACACATCAAAAACTCCTCGAATATATCTTTCTCCCGCTTTTACACCCAGAAATATACACACATACCGGCATCCAGCCTCCCAGAGGCGTCTTGTTTCATGGACCACCCGGGTGCGGAAAGACGATGTTAGCTGAGGCCGTTGGCGGGGAGGTTGATTGGATTGGCAGACAGGGAGGTGCAGGTGGAAAGGGTGTCAGTTTCATCAAGCTGTCTGCACCGGAGATCGTTAGCGGAATGAGTGGAGAGAGTGAGAGAGCGGTGAGGGAGGCGTTTGCAGAGGCCAAGGTGCGAATTCTCTAGAGGTAGAGATCACGATCCCAGTTTTCTTCTCCTCGTCTCATATACCTCCGTTCACAGCGACAAGCTCCTAGTATATTGTTTATCGATGAGATCGACGCGGTGACACCGAAGAGGGAGAGTGCACAAAGAGAGATGGAAAGAAGGATTGTTGCCCAGTTCTTGACTTGCATGGACGAGCTTGGCAAGCCTGCTGGAGGAGGAATGGTAATAGTAATTGGTGCAACGAACAGGCCAGATTCTCTTGACGCTGCATTGCGTAGAGCGGGAAGATTCGACCATGAGATCGCTGTCGGTGTTCCAGACGATGAGGAGAGAGAAAAGTTTGTGTTTCTTCTCTGTCTTCTTGTTCTTAGCCCTCATCAACTATCATATAGAATCCTGCGGGTCCTCACCTCTCACCTGCTGCTCTCGCCTTCCTTCGACTTTCCCTTCCTCGCCAAGTCCACTCCTGGATATGTAGGTGCAGATCTGGCTTCCTTAACCTCCGCTGCGGGAATTATTGCGGTGAAGCGGATTTTCGGAGAGTTAGGTAGGATTGGAAATGCAACCTTGAACTCTGGTGCTGTGGATATGGATGTACAAGTGGAAAGTATAGAGAGGGAACCAGAAACGGACAAAGATACTATGCAAGTCGACACCGAGACTACCCAGAACGACGTGTCTACTCTGGAACTAATACCTACCCACTCGTCAAACACAAACGACGCCTCCAATCCCCTTCAAAGCTTTCTCCTCAACCATCCTTCACCACTTACCCCTTCAGAACTCTCTTCTCTCGAGCTAACCACAGCAGATTTCACCCAGGCCCTTACCCAAATCCAACCATCATCAAAACGAGAAGGGTTTGCTACCATTCCCGACGTAACCTGGGCCGACATCGGCTTTGCCGACGACGACGACGACGCCAACCTCACCTCCATCCGTACCTCCCTCCAACTCTCCATCGTCCACCCAATTAACCACCCCCTTCTCTTCTCCTCCGTAGGCATCTCTTCCGCCTCCGGCGTCCTCCTCTTCGGGCCTCCCGGCTGCGGCAAAACTCTCTTCGCCAAAGCCGTCGCGAACGAGTCCCAGGCGAACTTCATCTCCATCAAAGGCCCCGAGCTGCTCAACAAATACGTCGGCGAGAGCGAGAGAGCGGTGCGAACGGTGTTTGCCCGTGCGAGGAATTCGATGCCATGTGTGGTGTTTTTCGATGAGATCGATGCGTTGGTTCCACGGAGGGATTCCTCCTCTTCGTCCTCTTCGGAAACGTCTTCCTCTGAAGCCTCCAGCCGGGTGGTAAACACGCTCCTTGCTGAACTAGACGGTTTAGACTCCCAGCGGGATTCTCTTCGAAGTGTGTATGTGATCGCGGCGAGTAACAGACCGGATATGGTCGATCCAGCGATGATGAGGCCTGGAAGGCTGGATAAGGTTTTGTTTGTAGGTATGCCGAGTGGGAGGGAGAGGGTAGGTATACTCAGGAAAGCGGTCAGGGATGTCCCTGTTGGTATGCCAGGTTCTGGATCCGAACTCGAACTTGCCGAGGAAGACAGTCGAGTCCAAGCGATGTCTCTCATCGAAACGTTCGTCCAGAGTCCCCAATGCGACGGATACACTGGGGCGGACATGAAGGCCCTTGTGCGTGAAGCAGGTGTGAGTGCGCTGAAGAGGACGTTGGGGATGATGAAGCCAGGGTTTGGGTTTGATTATGGTTCTGGCTCTGTCTCGTCCTTGCAAGCAGATACGGCTGCTCCTACATCTTTGGCTACTGTCGCATCCACAAATACCTCCTCTACCCAATCACCAAAAATTCCAAAAATCACGGTTACCCCGGAGGACTTCTTCCTCGCTCAGAAAAATGTATATCCGAGTGTGAGCGAGGAGGAGAGGGAGAGGTATGAGGTCTTGAGGGAGAAGATGACTGGGATGCGGTCGGCGTCGACAACGACAACAAACATGAAAACAAGAAGGGAAAGAGAAAGACGGGAGAGGGTTTGAAGGGTGCTGAACATACTTAGTGCTTTCAGTCAGTGTAGATATTATTGTTAGCTTTTTGTTGCACTTGTTCAATCCAAGTGATTTCCATACATACACCTACATAGATTAGGACTGCTTCAGATTCCTCAGGCCGGAGGTCTAATCACAGCATTAATGGGGTAGTGGTAACCTGGGTCGTTGCCATTAGAAGTACTTGTTTCGACCCGCCGGCGGTTCGATTCCCCCTTAATGCATGAACTCAGAGTGAAGTCTTTTTTCTCAGAATTGCTCAGAATTGCTCACAAACAGCTTGAACGACAACGACCGTAACATTCAAGCCTCACCGATATCGCGTATCATCATGTAAGTACATAGTGGGACCACTCGCAGTGTCGGATTCTTTGTGGTGAAGACCCTGGCAACTGTTTGAGAGTTGGTAGCATACCATTTCGAGGAGAAGAATTTGCAGACCGTGTCGGATAATCTGCCACTGGTTGACCTATGCATTTCATTGACCTGAATGTAATCAAAATCAAAAGCGCACCGAATGTCAGACTCCTTCCCATCCGCTCTTGCCGTTAAAAAAATTAGAGATTGAGGAGGGAAGTTACCTTATATAGCATATCTCAAAATCTTATCAGCTTATCAATATCTTATCTTGATTACATAAGCGTTGAATTTTTTTAACGGACAAGAGCGACTGGCATAATATGTCTAAGCGCCCGATGGCATTGTTTGGTCCTAGCATTCAAATTTTATAGCGCCCATTTCATCAATGTCCAGTAGCATTGGAATCGAGGTAGGTAGACCACTTTTATTTACATGAATTACATACAATATGACTCTTCTACCACATTGTGGCCAGTAGAGGATTGTTGAATCAAGGAAATAATGGCGCTAAAATTTGGAACCAAACAATGCCATCGGGCGCTTAGACATATTATGCCAGTCGCTCTTGTCCGTTAAAAAAATTCAACGTTTATGTAATCAAGATAAGATATTGATAAGCTGATAAGATTTTGAGATATGCTATATAAGGTAACTTCCCTCCTCAAAGGCTCAATCTCTAATTTTTTTAACGGCAAGAGCAGATGGGAAGGAGTCTGACCGAATGTCCATCCTTCAAACTTCGTCCACATTGGGAAAGATATTCTGAGTTCGGGAAAGCACATACTACATACATAGTACTAGAGCTATCATCATGTCAAACCATGCTTTCTAAAACCCTCGAGTCAATAACAACTTTGAGAAAAGACAACAACACTTCGTCTATGATCTGACGAAATATCCCAGCATTCCATCCTTCAGGAGGCGGGTCCCGAAACTCATCCCTCAAGTTTTCAATCAAACTATACCATTGTTTAAAAAATGGCTGAGCTTGCACTAGAAATGCTCCGTATTCATTAGCCCGTAATCTCAGGACCCCCGAAAACCAACTGAGAGGCCTGATCCTCCAGAGGCAAAAATCGGGTAAAAATGACCAAAATTTTTTGAGATCCCTGTTGCAAAAGCGGGTAAAAAACCACCAGATTTCGGACGAAGCATGAGGTCGAAATCGGGTAAAATTGGACGGTCGTAGAAAGCCTGAGGCACCTAGCGGGTAAAAATTGACCTTGTCAGACTCGAACCAAGAACCCTACGCTCACGCCCACATCCAACAGCACAGAACCACTTCACCATGCGACATTTGTCCAGAATATAGCCAAACCTGCAATAGCATCAGTTCCTTGTCAAACAGTCGCGTAAAAATGCACAATATCAGCCCGTGAGAAAATTTTTCGGACTTCTACCCTCCCTGAGGCAAAAATCGGGTAAAAATGGGGCCCCCCCGGATCCCTGGAGCAAAACCGGGTAAGAATGGCCAATTTTGGGCAAAAAAAAGACCGGGTAAGAATGCCACCCTTGAGCATCAGGCCTCTGAGTGGGTTTTCGGGGGTCCTGTAATCTCTCATGAATGATCTCGTGGGTGACGGATCTCCGATGACGGACATCACCTGCAAGGTCTGTTCGCCACTCTCGAACAGCGCTTTCACATTGGGAGCGCTCCTGAGGAAGCTCGCGGAAAACACACGCCCATTGTGTCACAAAGTAAAGTGAGGCGAAATCGTCGAGTGGAGAATGCAGGTGATTTTTGAGCATTTGATTGAACAACCAGTCAGACATGAATTCCGATGTGCCCTACGCAACGCAACAATGGTCAGTTGATATGCAAATCCCATATGGATACAGATTGTTACAGTTTTGGTGCCCACATCTTCATCTTCGAAGTAGGTATCCCAATGGACGGCCATATCCCCATCAATGACGAAGCCATAACACTGGTCGCTGATGGGCCCGAATGTTTTGCACAAATTGAGGATTTCCTGCTGGATAGGATTGGGATTTTCGATCCTGAATGGTTGAGTTGTTACCCGTTCATCGACCATCAAAACATTATCAATGCTGAGGTCGCAGTGTTGGTGATTCTTCTGACACATATCGTAGTATCCTTCAAACAAAGTCAGGATTGCAAAACCCCAAAGCGATATGCTTACCTATCAGAGCATGAAGAATTGCTCGAATCAGGGAAGGAAAATCTCGCGCACTGGCATTTAAGAGGGAATGTCCAGTGTAGGACATTATGTGACCTAGAAGAGACCGGCGGTGTGGTTCCTCAATTATAGGCTTCCCCAATACATGCCACCGGTACTGCTCCAGATCATCAGAAGGAGGGGAGAGAAAGAGGTGGTTCGTGGTCGGGCTGCCAATGTCATGATATGCTTGAAAGGAGTATAGATGCTTCGGGACTCTAAACATATTGCTGCAATCACGTTGAAGGAAGTCAGATTCTATGGGGCCATATTCTGGGCCACGATCTGGCGTCCAGCACAGTTTCATAACGGCATTGTTGAAATCGCTGCGTTCGAGGGAATTAAGCTTTAAGGAGGGACAATGAATGAGAAGATTCGTGTCTTCAAGTTTGTGGCCTGACGCGCGCGCTGGATTGACGGAATTCGGCACGAGCACGACCCCAACTGTGGATCAGGTCAGACAGAAAAGGACATATTGGGAGACAACTAGCCTTTATTCATATCTTCATTGTTACCCCTTTTTTGGGTCTTACTAGAACTGTTTCGAGTTGTATCTGAGCGATGTTGATCAACTTCGAGGCTGCGAGTCATGTTCGGAACCTCCTTTGCTGCTGCTGTTCCTATATTCTCGGGGATCCTTGAAGGAGAACGTCTGAGTCCCAAAGATTGAGTCGGGCCTGGTCGTTTCTGGGATTCACTGATGACTTTAAGGCAGAATACGCGAGACGAGCGACCCCGTACACAGAAAGTTTGATGCAAGACACGGTCAATATCGACGATGAATGGAGCAATGTTTCTAGCCTCAGTCTGTAATGAAGGAAGGCAAACTTGCACATTGTTGCACCATGCAGTAAACCCAGCGTCGGCGCGAGTTCTCCAGGTGAAGATAGAAAAGAGTGATCGGATGAAACCTTCTTGACCAGCAACTTTGTCAAGATCCGATGATACAGAAGCGGTGCAACTTCCGCGATGGAAGACAAGGAATCTGAGGGCATGCTCTTTGTGATTGTAGCCGACAAGCAACGCAAATTGCCGCAACGGACTAGCGCCAAACAGACAGTAGGCATTAGTACCCGCTTGGAGGACTAACTCACGCCAATCGTTGTTTACCTCAAGCGGTATAGCCATCTGTGAGCCACCTTCATCCGGTAGACTCCAGAAAAGTTGGTCTGGCATCAAGTCTCCAACACCGACTATGCCCGCACCATGAGGTGTACATGATTCAAGGCCTTCAAGAGCATCCTTCATTGACTTGTCCCAGACGCAGAACTTGAGGTTCCGATAGAAAACTTCGCGATCTTTGGGCAATTGAGCCAAGCACATTCCGATACCCATATTCATCAATTCCACGATGCCTCGATAATCATCTCCTGCAGATGAGAGTAGGACTTCAGGTGATTGGGATACGAACTCCTGGCAAGCCACCTTGATATCTGACCCGAATTTGTCGATGTGGATGTTGTAGTTGTCCAGAGAGTCGACATCTCCTGGTGCGAGCGGTGAGGGATCTCGATCCCTGGTCTTGGCTGAGAGCACCTTTGCAAGCTGGTCCGCAGTGAACTGCCAGACGTTCCCTTGAAGCTTGAATCGAATCTCGTCCCTCGAATCTTCCCAGAATTCAGTCTCGCTCGTATGTCTGGAGGAAGACTTATGATCAGAGACGGATGCGAACGACATGGCAGTTTGAAGCAAGGGATGCAAGAATAGTTTTACTATAAGCAAGGGTTAGGGTTTTCGACACACTCAAAACTTGAAGAATCAAGTCTTTTGAATCAGAGTCTGCCATCCGTCGGTAGCCTGGAGGTAATATGTGGAAGGTGACTTGGATATGTGGCCGAAATTAGTACATGTCGTGCAATGTCCGACTCCTTTGTCCTGGTAGGGGCAACATGTTGGTTATTAGTCTGGTCTCAACAGTGGTATATGTCATTGAAAATTGACAGTGATAGAGACTCGTTATAACAAGTACGAATGGATTCTGTTGAACGTTATGTAACATGAGTAAACACTTCGAATGGATAAGAAAAACTTCTATACGCACAGGCTGCTCGAAAACAGCATTCACACAACGCTCCTCAGCCTCAAACCAAATCATACCCCTCTTTCCCTAGGGACCAATCCTCAAATTCACTATTCCCTCCTTGACATTTTCCAAATGGACAAGCTCCTTGGACCTTGACCCTCAATATCTTTCTTGCAGCCTCTGGTCCACGTCTGTGGTACGCTACATGAAACCGGCAGTAAGCCCCAGCAACGTTAGCGTGTCTTTGATCCATGAACCAAAGAGATAGCAGAGTGCTGGAGTGCGTTGTATACGCGTTGGCGCTTGTATTGGTAGACGTGGATCGGGTAAAGGTTTTCAAGCCTAACAAAAATGCTTGGAAGTTGGGACGTTGGACTGGTTGTTGGGTCAGAAGTTGTGTTAAGTAGCGTGATGTGAGAGGTATCCCATTTTATCTCTTCGATAAAGAGCATTCCGCGTAGCATCAGACGCATTCGACAGCAGGCGGCGCGACGTTACTATCGTCGTACATAAAACAGTTGTGGGCGCTTATTTGACCGTCACTTACTTGGCTATCGTTGAAACATCGAAGGTTTTTATACTATCGATCGCTGATAGTATGCACATTGTACAGTACATAGCTGATTCCTATTGAATTCTTGCCATCAAGTATCTGAAAGTT